CACCTCATCTACCAGTCATTTATCTTCAGACAGACTGAACTGCCTGTCCTCCTTCAGGGTCCCTGAGGAAGTCTAGACAATGAATTGAGAGCAGATGCCTATCATGCAGATGGATGAAGTTTACATTGTGGTAAACTGGAGTACATTGTTCCTCATTTTCTGCTTTGCCCTAGAAAAATACCACAAGATGGCCACAAGCTGCTGTTGAATAAGCAGTGATGCTTTGAAAATGGTCATTATAGATGTCTTCTCTTAACTCTTCTTTCTCATTTTTTTCACTTGCTATTCTTACAGCGTGCAGCTCAGTCTGTGTCTTTTCAAATTAGCTTTGCCCCATACCAACTTAACAGAAGGTGTATGTTGGAGTGCAACTGGGCTTAAGTAAAGAGGCACCAAAAAGTACACTGCAGAGATGTAACACTACTATGATGGCTCAGACAGCAAGCAAGAATCCAACTTTGGACAATGAGTGTCAGGGCTGCAGTCTAATAATAAATCTGATCTTTAATAAAGCACTTACTTGTATGTCTTAAATTGTGGCATGGGAGTATCATTATCTCTATTCTAAAGATGGGAAAATGAAATCCAGATAAATGGGATTATTTGCATAATGTCCTATCAGAAATGGTAGATCCAAACCAAAAGTGCAGCCTCTTGATTCCCAAACAGTGATTTGTTCATTCAACCATAGTCACTATTGTTTGGATTTAAAGGTTGTTTCCATACTGTAACATCCTGATCATACCAAATTCCAAGAGCCATTTATCAATAAGAAGCCCCTACACATAGCCTACACAAAGAAAGATACTGAGCAGTAGAAAAATCTTGTCCACTAAAAAAATGCAGCCATCTTTGGAGGGAAGACATGATAATTATTTTAGCAACATGCACTACACAACAGTTTTAATAAAACAAACAAACAAACAAACAAAAATTTATGCATGATCTTCCACAGTAATTGCTAGGTGACTGTTTCAGGCTGACAGAACTTCTGCCTGACCTAGAACATGGTTAAGACACTCAAATGAATAGCCTTGTTCTCTGCAAAATCAGCATGGCTTTTTAGTGACCAGCCTGATGAGAACTTTGGTTTGAAGTGGTGTTTGTAAGACTGTTCACTGCAGGGCAGTACGTGTGTAAGCAATGCTCAGGCACTGCGTCAGTACTTTCTGTAGTACTTATGCCAAAGTTTGACATTTGGTGGCGCAGACAGACCTGTTTAAAGCAGCCTAATGCTAAGGAAGACCTATTTAAATGACTCCCTGACACAAACACGTCATCCTTCTCATCCCCTGTTGTTCCAGTGTAAGTGTCTGTGCAGCAAACCGAACCAAAGAAACCACTAGGCTGACAAGCAGCAATTTCTTTTTGCTGAGTTACTTTTCAGTTTTGTTTGTTCCCACATTCAGTGCTTAGTATGCATAAAGAGAAGAGCAGCTTTGGAATAGGGTAGGGGTGGTGACTGTTTGAAGTTACCATTATGTCACCAAAACTGTTTTTTTAACAACACCCTTAAATCCCATTATCATTCAGGTTGGAACCAATCTCCAGAGGTCCTCTGAGCCCACCCCAGGTCAAAGCAGGGTCAAACTAGAAGATGGCTCCAACTTCCAGGTTAAATTGGGTTAGTCAAGGTCATATCCAACCCAGGTTTGAGTATCTCTAAAGATGGAGGTTCCTTAAAAGTTCCCAGCAGATCTCTGCAACTACTGAGTCATGATTCCAGTGGTCTGGGTGATGTGATAGGATGACAGCTAAGGATATATGCCCAAAGAACATAGAAAAGATTAAGCTGTATTTTAAAAAATATTTTCAAGTACTGTGATTTTAACATGTGGTGTTATTCCTACTGAGATATGCTTGTTCACTCTTTAGCAATTGCTCTTTACTCACCTTCTGTATACCCACAGACTGACGAACATTCAGCTTTCTTTTTCTTTGAAAGGTGTCCAAGTCCCACAGTTGTGCTGTATCGGTGGATGTAGTGATGGCATACCTGCCCAAGCCATGGACAGAGATGGAAGACACTGAAGAATCATGTCCCCTCATCCAACTAACTAGCTCCTTGGTTTCTGCAAGAGTTGATGAAAAAAATGAAAAGCATATGAAAGTCATTCAGAGTGAAACAACTACTACTTTACTCTTTATTGCCAACACTATGCTATGAAAGGGACTTTTAAGCATACCTAGAATATGGCCATTTACCACCACAGCCCAACAAACAAGAAACAAAGGTATCAGTCTTCATATAGTTATTATGCCTTAGAGAAAGATAACCATCTCCTCATCTCCAAGTAACAGATTTCATAAGTTACTCTCAGTTCTGCACAGAAAGCCAACTTGCACAGACTTGTTTAATTTAGCCTAAGAATCAATCTTAAAAAGTCATGAACACTGTGATCAGGTAAGTTCGGTATGCCTCACAGGCAGATTATCCAAGGTGAACACCCACAGTAATCCCTAGAAGTTGAGACTGAATGTTCTAGTTAGAATTCTCCACTTGTTTTTACTTGTGGATAATATGTACAGATGATTACGCAGCTATTTACAGGTGCAAGGAAGAAAGGTTTAATGACAACAGGCTATGACTATGGAAAGGCACAGTCAGAAAGCAACACCTCATTAATTCTTTTAAAGTCCAAAACATTTTTATGCTGTGTATTGCATATTAAGGAAATGGTTCCTCTGACTACATTGTCTCCCACTTGTGACTGCATGACCACTAATCTTCCCTCAGCAACCAAACTATATTTGTGGCAATTACACTATTTATGTTGGGTAGTTTGCCTGACAGCCCATAGGGTGGTTCCAGCTGACCTACTGCTGTGGCATCAAAGATGGAAAATGGCTATAAAGCAGCTCATGAAGCCTAACAGTCAAACTTTCTGCTGTGCTTACAGACCATTGAGTGCTTAAAGCTATCGTCACATGGGAAGATGACATGGGATTACAGAATATGGCTTCTAAAGCAGGGGATGGAGCCCACCAACTAAGTATTATCTAATACACCTCTAACGATAGTTTACCCAATACTGACTTATGTGAATAACATTTATATTTTAAGACATTCTTTAGTATGACTTGGTATCTGGAAACAGCACCATATAAACATGCAGGACTGTGGAATAATTAAGAATATTTCTCTAAGTGCATCCAAAATCTAAGTTTGGCCTTACTGTGGTTGAAAGAAGGAGAAAAAGCAGAGGATTTCAGACCTTAACTAGGACTCTTCCTCTATTTTGGGAAACTGTGTTACATTAAAATCTTCAGTAATAATATCAGACCCTCAAACTGCAGATGAGTGATTCCTACGGCCTTTGAAAAAGATTTAAATCCTGATGATGAGAGACACTACAACTGCACTTTTTAATACGTTAAGATTAACTTATGAAGAATGAATTGTCAATGCTTTTCACCATTTAACTTCTAATCAAGACAGAGACACACAGCTGGCCTGTGAAGTTCATTTTAGATATCACTTTTGAAAAAGGATATAGATCTACTTGCATAATCAAAAGTATTGACAGTTCTTTTAGTGTATATTGTCACTTTGCTCAAATATTTTACTGTAAATATAGTTAACAACTGGTTCAGTTGCAAACTAACGTACCGTCAACTGATTTTAGTTTGATTTTACATACAACACCTCATTGTAAGCAAACATACAGAACTGCCTTAAAAAAGGTAACATATAATTGCGATCCTGTGCTAGACTTCAGTTAAACAGATGCCTGCATGACTCAGTGGGACCAAGAAACTTTGACAAAGCAAACGTTTGTCCTTGTTTACTCACAGGACTATAACCCCCATGGACCCAAACTGTGGGGTTTTTTGGGGGTTGTTTTTGGAAGAACAGATGGTATGAAACACATAAGAACTCCATCAAAAAAACCTTACAAAAATTGAGATTGAAACTAAAATTATATAGTTTTTTAGAACAATCCAGATAGTAAGCCTTTGATTTTCTCCCTACCTGTATCAAAGCACTTAACAGAATAGTCTGCCAAAGCCACCAGGAATTCTGTCTTTCTGCGAAGGTTAAATGCCAAAGCAGTGCAAGCCTGCATTGTCCGCTGAACAAGGTTGAACCTATTTAAAAATATATGTTCTCATTGTGTTAGGAAACTTTGATTCATCACATCAAGTCAAGTAATAACTTAATCAGTTTTGATATATTTCACTGAGAGAAAAAAATAACTCAAAAGACAGCAAACAAATCATATCTAATTATGATACATATAAAAATACTAAAACTCATTAGTGTAAAAATGAAAAGACTGATTACTATATTTCTGCAAATGACAACAGTAGGTCTAATTTATTGTAATACATCGCCCATATGATTAATTGAGCCAATACTGTTCAAAGAATAACTTCTTGTGGTGGTATTTAATTGCTTAGGAAATGGAAGTTCTATGAAATTGCTGTTTGTTCAGTTTAGAGTTACAAACTACTGATCTTTTGGAGCAGCTAAATTAATAAAATAATATTTAGGGAGCCTAAAGGGGCTTGCAGTTTCAGCTCTGAGAAAACCACTATCTATTTTGACATTCATGGAAAACCGATGGTTAAAACCAGACCTATGGCATGCTGTCCAGGCAAGTTCCATACCTCTGAATGTTACACATGTTAAGACAATTAAAATTTATTGATAGAAATACTCTTACCTGTTTCCATTCAAGTCAAAAACATATATATTCCCTTGGTGGTCTCCTGCGAGTAGAGAATCTCCGGAACTGTCAAAAGCCACATTCAGAAAACGTATTGTCTTTGAATGGTATCCTTTGACACTATGAATTATGTTTACTATAACTCTGTGAAGAAAGCAAGCAAAACAACCATCCTTAGAACTGTTTTATTATCACATATTTCTCCAAGACCTAGGATTAAAATGTTCCTAGCTTACGGTTTTACAACTCTAATCATTCATAGTGTTCTATCAAAAGTCTTCCATGAAAAGTATGTATTTCTAATATAAAAAATATACTAAACAAAGGAAGTAATTCACTATGTTGGAAGGTAGTTACGAGACACGTAAAGCAGATGGGGGAAATTGACCATTCATGATCCTTTTATGTGGCTTCTAGTTACCTGACTTTCAATTATATTATTAAAGCGTAAGACTGACATATATGCTGATGTATCATCTGCCAATGTATCTGAAAGCCCAATTCAGCACTCAGCAAGGAACCTGGCTCTTCATTATCACTGTCAAGAAACATGCTAGAAAACTGAGAAGCTATGAACCACTGTAAGAAACTACTTGGATTAGATTGGGGTGGGGGGGAAAACCAGTTTTAATTCCGCTTTTTTCCAGAGTCTTCAAAAGCATGAAGCAAGCCATTTTTATCATTATTCATCTGAGATACTATGGAACAGAAGTTGCTGGTTTTTTCACATTCTATCCTTGTACCATGCTGTTGGCATCAAATGGAGCCAGATGCAGAACTGATGCCTGTGTGCAGAATAAGCCCTAAGAGGATTTTTTTTCCCAGAAAGCAGGACATTAAGATTGGGAGATCTGCTATTCCTGGATTTTTTTGCTAACACTGGGCAAACCAATTATTTTCTATCATCACCTGGATGTAAACTCAGAGTCAAACTAAATATCTAAAATTGTACAGGATATTGGGAGGCTGCTTAAAGACTGCAGGGCACTTGCAGAAGGTTGTGACCATGGCTAAACAAGATGCTGATAGCTACCTGAGACACCAATTTCCAAGAGAGCAGAATATGCAACCCAGCACCTGCATGCAACTGTTGGCATATGTTGCAAAGTGCGAGTGAATATCAGAAGAAGGGCCATGCAACCATGGTACAGGCTAGCGACAAAACTAATTGTACCTCATTCTGTTAAGCCCATTCTCTTCTGCAATAAAAGGGAAGGGCCATAAAAAAGAAATTAGGAAGATGTCAAGCTAATTTAAATTCTAATTAAAATTTAGTTATGTTAGGGTCTTTAAGGTCATTTAAAAACCCACAAGTGAAGCATGACTTCTGGTTCTAAAAACACCCTGAAATGTACTTATCAGTGTAGTTAGAGCATCTCCCAGGACGTCCTCAACACTGCTCTCTGCCATTCAAAAGCTCCTCTGCCACTAAACTAAGCTAGGAGAATAAAGCTAGGAGTTCACAGAGCTGCGTCCAGATTCCCCACGTCAAACAGCATACAGGTACTCCAAAGCAGCATCCATACCGCTGCTCTTCAGCTTGGGCCAGACAGTACTTTCCTAGTATTTCACATTTGAATTAAACTCTCGTGGGAATTCGCCTACGGTACTTTGTTCACTACAATTAAAACAAAAAAGCTAAATTGGGAGAGTTGTCCAGGCCCTTGCCAAGTTGTGAGCATCTCCGAGCACGGAGGTTTCACAGCCTCCTTGGGGACCTGCTCCACCCTCAACGGAACGCT